AGTAAAAAGAGAATATAATCGTAAAGTAGTTTATATAATTCTTTAAATAATAGTCTTCAAGTAAGAGCAGGATAGTTGTTTCTGGAATTAAGGATGATTTTATATTTTAATATTTTTTTCTTAAATTAAAAAAACTTGCAACTTTTGATTTAGAAAACTAATTGTATAAGAAAAAACCATTTACACTGGTAATCTTTAAAGACTGATAACCTTTTGTCTTTTTTCTTTAAGTCCTGACTACTTTCACTTATTTTTTGATTATCGTTTCATTATTTAACTTTATATTGCTTAATTTGCTGACTATAATATAATGTTGTTTGTGTGGTTTATTTTAAAACTCTAAAGTAGATTTTACATTTTTTCTCATTCTCCTGTATTTTATATATTTAATGGGTATATATCAGTATATAAGTTATGAATAAATAGCTTTCATTTAATCTAAATATATAAATATTAAATATATATAAAGATGTAAATTGTATATACATAAACACTATATGATATATAGTATGTAAGCTATCACTCTGGATTTCTTACTAATTATACAAAAACATTGATGATTTTGAATTTTTTTAACCTTTAAATATTTTTCTGATTTATTTATTTAGTTATTAGTTATTTATTTTTAACTCTTATTTTAGCTTCAAGTGTATATGTGCAGATTTGTTATATAGGCTAATTTTGTGTCACAGGGGTTTGGTGTACAGATTATTTTGTCACCAGGTAATAAGCATAGTACCCAATAGGTAGTTTTTTGATCCTCACCTTCTTCCCACCTTTCAGCCTCAAGTAGGGCCCAGTTTCTGTTGTTCCCTTCTGAAAAAGACTTCCTTGATGTATGTTTGACTATTATTCTGTGATTCCCAAATATAAATGTCTAGATTAAAATAAAACATTTTATTTTTATTTATTTTTACCTTGTTGCATAATTTTAAATTTTGACATAGTTTCAAATGTACAGAAAATGTACAAGAATTGTATTTAAGAATACCTTTTGTCCAGATTCAACAGTTGTTTACAATTTTGCCTCGTTTGCTTCATTTCTGTGTGTGTTTTCTCTCTATATTCCTGTGTGTGCATGCACACACCACACACACACACCACATTTTTTTCTGAATCATTTGAGAATAAGTTACAGACATCATGCTTCCTTAGCTGAAGTGTTTAAGGGTACATTTCCTAAGAATAAGGACATTGTCTTCTATAACAAGAGTGTAATTTTTAAAGATATTCAATATTGACACAATAGTAGTTGTATTGTGTAACTCACAGTATGTGTCTAGGATTCCAGGTGTATTTTTTGGTCTTATCTTTAAAAGTCCTTTTATCTGGAACATCTCCTTAGTCTAATTACTTGGACATTTGAAGAGTTCAGATCAGATACGGAGTGCAGTATTCTCAATTTGGCTTTACTGAATGTTTCCTAACGGTTAATTCTGGTTTTGCATTTTTGACAGGCATACCACAAAAGTGATGTTGTGTTCTTCTCAAGTGCATCATACTTGGAGACATGTTGTATTTGTCTGATAATTGATGATATTGTCTTTGATCAATTTGTTAAGGTGGTCTCTGCCAAGTTTCTCCACAACTAGTTACTATTTTCTCCATTGGAATTAATAAGAAATTTGTGGGAAGATACTTTTTGACTGGAAATACCTGTTTATCATCACACTTTTATGCACTGGTGCTGATCCACTAATGTTTTCTTTACTGAATCAGGTACCTAAAATATTATGGTGGTTTTCTAACTCCATCAGTCTGTCTGTACTTTTTAGGTGACATTACACTCGAAGAAAGAGTTTTCCCTTCTTAATTTCATACTTTATTATATTTTCTGTAATAAATTTTAATCCATTACAATAATTATTTATTTTTATTTCCCAATTGTCTCCGATTAAACCAGTAACAGCCTCTTAAAGCTAGGACCTGTGTCCTTTTGACATATCCCCATCATTTTATAAATGCCTTACTTGCTTTTCTTCCAAAAAAAAATGTCACTTCAAAATTTATGCATTTTTGTCTTTTCTCTGTGTCCATATTCTAATATGCCAGAATAGGTTTTCAGAATTTTCATAGTTTGAGTGGATTTTCTGTGAATGATTTTCATGTCACTCTTAGGAATTCTGGTTTCCTTTACCTTCTTTCTCACAGTTTTTCTGGACCCCATATATCTCTGTATATAGGGGCAGCTTAAAGATAGCTGCATTAGAATTGGTGTCTAATTTTCTATTTACGTATAATCTGACATGTTTATTATTCTCCAGCTTCCAGTTGTGCTGAAGGATTTGGATTCGTGTGTTTTAATTTGTTTTGGTTAAGTGTATGTATTTTTTACGACATGTGAACAGTTTGAGATTTAGGTGGCTCTTACTACCTGAGTTCCTCAGAATGCCAGTCCATATTTTTATGCATTCTGCAAAATGTATTGATATTTGAAGACAATGCAATATGCCATTATTTAAGCAAAATTTGTGGATTGCATAGCTTTACCTTTAGCTGTTAGTGTTCTGTTAATCCAGTTTATCCAACTAAATTGAAGTGTTTAATGTATCATAATTATTTTATTACCTAGTATACCTATCAATCCAGGAAATAACTCACTGGAAGACATACACGTCCATGGTAAATGTAAAATTATTCTTTGAGGTCACTCATTCTTTCACTTGATGATGTACTAATCAATTATGTTTGTAATAATTTCCCTTAGCTATGACAATTATCAAATATATATTTAAAAATAAAATATATTCAAACCCACAAAATTTTAAAACATGTATATAGATTAAAATAAGATAACTAATCAATAGCACCTGGTTATAGGAATCCAGTGAAATGTAGTATTTTAAGTGGTTATTTCAATTGACAAAATACGTTTTTTTGAGACTAATAAAGGTAAATCCTTCCTCCAGTTTCACAGCAAAAACAAAAAAAAAAGAAAAAAAAAGATGGCAATTCTTAATAAAGGAGAGCTTGGATCTGGTACAAAACACTCCAGTATTTAAAATTGTCAGAGTGAAAGATGGTTTGTAAAAGTGGGAAGTAGATGAATATGAAAACTCGTGCTATCTAAGAGGGGCAACCATTTTTCTGTTCCATGCCTGAGTCCAGCCTTATAAAAATTTTCACTTTTTCAAAAAAGCTAGATATGAGGATTTTTTTATGAGAAATCTTCTGCTTTTGAATATTGTGTAATATTTTAAAAACCATGGTGTGGGACAAACGAAATGTATCAGTAAGCCAGATTTGGTTTTCACACCCCCAGTTTTCAATCTCTGCTCTGGATGCAACCTAGAAATTAGCAGATATTGTAGTAAGAAGAAACCCAGGTCAGAAAAGCTGGTTTTGAGCCCAGGCTTACCTCCTATTGGCTGTGTCAGATTGAGCAAGTCATGTAATTAGAGTTCATCTCAGTATTCTTGTCTATGAGGATGAATATGCTAAAGTATGAAGAAATATAGAGATTTGCTAATTGTTATAACTTTATAGTTCTACTGAATTATATGTGAAGAAGAATATATATATCTTTTATTATGTTTTAAGTTTTAAACTTAGAAAATACAAAATTTCTTGGACATTTCTTGATTTACTTTTTCCATTTAACTATAAACTTGCTAATTACATCCAGTTTTCTTTGTTTGAGAGGTTCTGTGTAAAACACTAGTAAAATCATTTATTCATGGGCCAGGTAGAGACCTGTGCATTCCCAGTGTCTTTAACATACTAGAGGAAGATAAATTAGATTTTCTATTCAAAATGCTTATTCTGAATGTTGAATTGTTGATTTGGTTACAGTTGGTTTTGGTGAACACAAAAGCACAACTTCTGTATTGTTAAACTGCTAGTTCTGCTTAGTACCATCAAGACGCAGATCTCTCTGAGCAGAAATTCTGTTTGTTGCTGAGAACTAATATTCCTTTAAAGATGTTTGGTACTTAAGGGAATTTTTATTTGTATTGTTTATAGTGTGAGCTGTCTGAAAGAACACACTGTGTTTTTAAAGGGATATATATATATATATTTTTTTTTTTTTTGAGATGGAGTCTCATTCTGTCTCCCAGACTGGGGTGCAGTGGCATGATCTCAGCTCACTGCAACTTCCGCCTCCTGGGTTCAAGCGATGGTCCTGCCTTAGCCTCCTGAGTAGCTGGGGCTACAGGCACTCACTACCATGCCTGGCTAATTTTTATATTTTTATTAAAGACAGGGTTTCACCATGTTGGCCAGGCTGATAATTTTCATTAGGTTGTATTTTATTATATTTCTCTGAACAGTTCTTTTATAACACTGTATTTACTCAGTAGCATAAAACCCATTTAAGTTGAAATATTTTGAGATTCATAATCAATATGCTCTTTCAAAACCCTACTCTAAAACGAACAAATTAATTAATAATGCTTGATTAAATCACTTTCTCCTTATAATCACATTGATATTCTGAAACACAGAGAATGGATCTGTTTGTGTATTTTTGTGAGGTATGCAGGTCGCATGCCTGCATTTTTCTCAGTGCATGGTTTTCAATTAGAATTGGAATGCAATTACAAAGTGAATTGGTGCAACTCTCTGGATAAATCAAGCAAAATTCTTTTCTAACTCAGTGATCCTCATATATCAGATAATAGTACCTTTTAAAAACTTGAAATATTTGAATAATCACTTCAACTCTCCAAGTATATTTGAACATCTCATATTTTTGAATTACTTTTATGCCGTTCTGCCAACTGTGTTTCTTGCATATAATTATGAAGCTAGTATGCAGACTTCTCTTACCTCTTTCTTCAAAGTGTCCTCCTTAATTGATGTTTTGGAATATTTGCATGTAGTTGGGAATATTTCTGTTCATCAGCCCATTATACTTTGCTAGATGTATAGTCTACATTTTGCAAAACCTATTTTAGTATGTTACAGTGTATTGTGTTTAAGTGTGTGTTGGTCTGTGTTAGTTTTTCTGTGACCTTGACAAATTGTTTACTCTTTCGGATGTTTTTCTTCCTCCACAGATGCATTTTTGTAGAAGCATTTTGAGGATGTATGTTTGCAAATCATTTTGAAATTGCCAAGTGCAACATACAGTAAGTAATATTTTTATTGTTCTACTCAGTTGCAGTCATGCTTGATTAATTTGGCAGTCATAAAAGAACCCATTTCCATTTACAGTCTTTGATATTTTTTGTCAGCGTTGTTAAAGATCAGATGGTTGTATGTGTGTAGCATTATCTCTGGGGTCTTTATTCTGTTCCATTGTTCTGTGTGTCTCTTTTTGTATGAGTGCCTTGCTGTTTTGGTTACTACAACCCTGTGGTATAGTTTGAAGACAGGTAATGTGATACCTCTAGTTTTTTCTTTATGCTTAGGATTGCCTTGTCTATTTTGGCTCTTTTTTGGTTTATGAATTATAAAATAGTTTTTCCTAATTATATGAATGATATCATTTGTAGTTTGATAGCAATAGTATTGAATCTGTAAATTGCTTTGGACATTGTGGCCATTTTATCAACCTTGATTCATCCTGTCCATGAGCATGGGATGTTTTTCTATTTGTGTCATGTCTAACTTCTTTGACCAGTGTTTTGTATAGAACTTTCTCCTCCTTGGTTAGCTGTATTCCTAGGTATTTTATTCTTTTGGGGGCTATTGTGAGTGGCATTGTGTTCTTGTTTGGCTGTCAGGCTGGAAATTGTTGTAGAGAAATATGCCTCTGCCCTGATGAAGTGCTCTGGCCAACACTACTCATCAGAGTAAATGAGTATTTTATGACTGAATTCAAATTAAAAAAATAACAATTGCCTTATATTAAGTGTCAGTAGAACGAATCAGCAACCCAAAATGAGTTGCCTTGAACAAAATGCTATTTGATTAGAGAAAACTTAAAAATATATAACAACTCCTCCCCTAATGGCAGAGACAATATCTTACTCTTCTATTATACTTTTCAGAATTAGCAGTGGCTGACCACACCCTTTTCTTGTGGTCCTTTTTAGTTGCTTTCTGCAGTGAAGAAAAGATTGGAATGAAAGGTTGAGCTTGACTTACCATTCTTTTCCCTCCTTATTATCTTCAGATGTGTAATATTCATAGTACTATCCTTTACATAACACTGGCCACATTCATGCTTTCCCGTTTGGACTCTGGTGATCTTCAAATTCATTCATGTTAGCCACCCATTGGTCCTAACCCTGTACACTTTATTTCTTGAAACAAACCATCAGCGACATTTTATATGGGGACATTTTCGGAATTCCTGGTATTTAAAAGGCTATTGCTCTAAAATTGAATGGATCAGATCGTTCATGCTCCCACACTACTTTTGGTTTTGAGATTGAAGGATTTACAGAGGGGTGAGAATGAAGGGATGAAGTCTCCATTTCTAGATTTGACCTCTGGAAGACAAAGCTAGTGATTTTGTTTAGTAATTTTATTTCATTTGGTTCAATTAATAGTTCATGCTCCTAAATTGAGAGGTACTGTGTTAGTAAGGACTAGAGCAAGTAGGAGAGAAAGACAAAAACAACTCTCAAGGAAACTTTGTCATTGGTTTGAGGAAATAAGCTATTCCCTCATATAAATAAAGCAGAGGCTGTGGTAAGTTACCTCATGAGAATGGTATAAACTAATACAATTTAAAAGCCATTTTAAATAATTTGAGAAACAATAAAATGCACAGATGTGTGAAAAAAGAAGCCATTATAGTAGACCTCAGAAAGGAGATATAATTCTGAACCATATTGGTCCAAGGTTTTATGGAAATTGAATTTGGGCTAGATCTTGATGCAGATGGAGAATGTTAACAGAATAGTCAAGAAAATGGCATACTAACATTTAGAAGTAAAGAGGCATACTTCACACTCAATGAATGACAAATTAATTAGTTTGGCACAAGAATACGTTTCTTATGTTGGACTAAAAACAGGTAACTGGAAAATAAGGCTGGTACCAGGTTGTGGGAAATACTGATAGCCCTTCAAGAAATTTGAATTTAATTGGTATGTAATTAAAAATAGAGAGCTAATATTTCATGAGGGCTAATCCTGTGAACAGAAAGGTATTTTTAAATGTTATTCTGGTAATACCTTCAAAGTGGATGGCAGTTGGAAGACTTGTTGCAAAAAGATCAATTTTTAAGCATTTACAGAGGGATAAGAATGAAGGGATGAGGGCAAGACCTAAAGTCATAGCAGTGGGGAGGGACTGGCAGGGTTTGGAGCATGTGAGATTTATTTGGAAGTAAATAGGTTCAGGGAGTAATGGTTATACTTAATGCTTGTGCAGGATTTACTGAGTGCCAGGGTTGTTTTAAATGTTAATGACTAATGTCATCCCCATTTGTGCAAGAGGAAACTGAGAGAGGCATCATTTAAGCAAATGGTCCCAGGTCACAAAAGTAAAACATACCATGCCTGACATTTGGGGCCATTTAGTCAAGCTCCAGAGTCATTGCAGTTTACCACTGTACCATCATTTCTCTAAAAAAATAACTGAAGCTTCCAAGTTGACTGAGCTGGAAAATGATGTTGCCAATAATCAGAGAAACATATATATATATATATATTTTTTCAGAGTTTACCCTTTCTTTAGGTAGGTTTTTGGGTATGCAGAAAAATCTTGACCTTTAGGGAGAAATGTCCCTTATGGTTAGTGATGAATCTCTTGTATGCATTCACTTGTGTCTTGGGCAATAGGAACAGTATTTATTACATTATTCAGTTGTAAGTTATGATAATAAATATGTCGTCTTAATCAGATTTGTCTTCCTTCCTTAGCAGAACTTAAAAATGAAACAAGGATAGGGTGATAAGTAAAAGATTTCATATCTTGGGTCCATAAAAGACCACTATTTTAGACTTTGTTTACCTATCTTGCAAAACTAATTTTGACAAGAGAAAAACATAACTCTCAGCATATGGAGTATCTTTTTTTCTGTTAGGTTGATGCAAAAGTAATGGCATTTTTGCCATTACTTTGTAAAACCACAATTACTTTTGTATCAATCTAATATACTGGAGAAGTAGAATAATGTACTGCTTAAGACCATGGGCTCCAGGACCATTCTGCTTCATTGATTCATATTCCAAGTAAGGCCCATTTGCTGTGTGGCTTTGTGTCAATTATTTAAGCTCTCTGTGCCTCAGCCTCTGTACCTTCAAAATGTGATATTAGTAATACTGTGTCTTCTGGATATTGTAAAGCTCAAATGAGATAAAGCACCTACAATGGCTCTTGGTACCAGTAAGTTTTAAATAAAAGTTATGTTTATTAAAATTTATCTCAGGTAACAGTTTTCTATTTTTTAATTTCATTACATAATTACTGCTGTTTTAAGCTTTTTGCTTTGAATTTTTACGCATTAAGGAGACAGAACAGTGATTTTCACAAGCAAAGACCCATGTAACCATCACACAGGTGAAGAAATAGAACAATTGCTGCATCTCCAATCCTACTTTTTCTGCCTGCCAGCCATTACTTCCTTTCTATCAGTTTCCCATGGATAACATTATTCCTGATATTTGTGGGAATTACTTCCTTGCTTTTCATCATAGTTTTAACATTAAATAATGTATTCTTATATGCAAAATATTGGTTTAGCCTGATTTTTAAGTTAATGTACATAATATTTATATTACACACATTCTTCTGTGCATGGTGTCCTTTTCTGAATGTATGTTTGTAAGTTTCCTTAATGTTTTTATGTGGTTCATTAATTTTCATTCCTATATCGTATTCCATCATATAGAAGTACTACAGAATATTTATTCATTGTGTTGTTGATGGACATTCATGCTGTTTCTAGGTTTGAGCCATTATAAATAATGCTGCCATAAACATTCTTTTAAATGTTTTTAGCCAAATATATACATATATTTCTCTTGAATATATACTTACCAATGGAATTTCTTAGTCATATTGCATGCAATCTTTTAACTTTAGTAGATACTGCCAGATGGTATTCCAAAGTAAATATATAATTTCACTTCATTCCTTAGTGTATAAGAGTTTCCATTGTTTCATCTTTACCAAAGATTGGTATAATCAGTTCTTTTAATTGTAGCCATTCTGGTGAGAGTTTGGTTTACATTGTCTTGTTGAATAATATGATTGTGTCATGTGGCTTAATAGCCATGTGCATATTATTGTCTATAAATTTCCTCTTCATATGTGTATTTTTCTATTGTGTTGATTTTTAAAATTGTTAATATTCACAAGTTAGGTAAGAGCCTCCCACCAGTTAAATATGCTGCAAAGGTCTTCTCCCTTTCTATGATTTGCTTTTTCAGTTTCTTAATGAGGTTTCTCTGATGTTCCTAATTTTAATTTTAATCATTATGTCACCTCTTTATGTTTATATCTTTCCACTTGTCTTTGGTTTTTGTGAGTGATGTGAGGTAGAAGTCAAATTCTAGATATCCAGTTGTTATAGAATCATACTGGACAATTCTCTCCTTTGCCCACGGTTCTTTAATGTCATATTTACTACAAATTAAATTTCTATATGTGTCTGGGTCTTTTAGGAGCCAACTATTCTATTTAATTGGTTTATTAGTCTCTTCTTATCACTTATAACACTATTTTAACTACGGCTACTTTTTAAATATTCTTAGTATCTATTAAAACGAGTTTTTCTACCACATGTTATTCAAAGGCCTCTTGACTTTGCCTTCTTTCATGTAAATTTTAGAATTACTTTGTCAAGTTAACAAAAACAATTGTTTAGATTTTAGTTATAATTGCATTCAATCTATTGTTAAGTAAATTGTTAAAGAACTGGCATAATTACAATATTAACTTATTTCATTTATGAACATAATATATACTGCATTTCCTCCTTATTAACTGGGGACACATTCCAAGATCCCCAGTTGATGCCTGAAACTGCAAATAGTACCAAACCTTATATAGACTATGTTTTTTTCTACACATAATTACTTATGATAAAGTTTAATTTAAACTTAGGCACAGGATGAGATTAAGAACAACTAATAATAAAATAGAACAATTGTAACAATATACTGTAATAAAAGTTATGTGAATATAGTCTCTTTGTCTCTCAAAGTATGTTATTGTACTGTACTTAACC